CCTGCTGGTTAGACGCATTGTTGAGAACGGCCCTACGGTAATTGCGTGAATCCATAATGCAGTAGCTGTTGTAGTACTCAGGTCGCGGTTTACCTACGAAACAACACGCCCGCGTTCTGCGTCTCGAAGGACAGTTTCCGGGCTTCCTGCACGTAGGGAAGGTATTTTTGAATTACTTTGAAGTATTAATAATGACAGCGTCGATGCCAAAGAGAGACAGAAGAGAAGCAGCGGAGGAGGAGAAACAGACGACGACGGGAGCCACAAATTAAAGCACATTATCAGGGAATAAGTGCAGCAGCAGCTTTATTTAATCCTATTTATTTCCAGACAGATGCGTCAGCTGAAGATCTGTGTGTACTTCACAGATGAGGTGGAGCATCGACATGACAAATCAGATTAGGCCAGTCAAAAATATTACACTTCAGTTTGTGGAAAAGAAAAAACCGAGAGAGTTGACGCGTTCTTTTATTTATATTTACACTTATGACTTTGAGTATTTTCTTTTAATTCTTTTGAAAATTATTCTTTCAGTTTTGAGAAAACAGAAGCCAGCTAATTCACGACGTCTTGTCGTGTCCTTAGTGATGACAGCAGAAACCTCATGTAGGAGAACACGAGGGTAAAGAGCCAGTGGAGTTCAGTCAGAGAATTTCATTTCATTCCATTTCATCACAGCTGAAACAGTTCATCTGGAGAAAAGCTTCATGTCACATTTCCTTAATCAAACGTCTCCGTTCAAAAGGCTGCAGGTGAAAAAAAAACCCGACCTCCTGCCGTCCTGTCCTGATGTCAAGGATGTGTTTACTGCAGCAAGTCAGACGAGGAAGCTGCTGGAACTACGTACATGTTTATCTTTCATTAATGAGCGGCTCATTTTGAAATGAAGACGAAATTATAAGATCTTCAACTTGGACTGAGTCAACGACCAACGTTTCTAAGAATAAAAACTAAATAGACAGACACGTGGAGATAAAAGGAAGATGAATCAGTCATAAACTAGAGCATTGTTTCCCAAAGGCTGGGTCGCGACCCTCAGGTCTCGCATCATGTTTCCCAGGAGTTTACGAATCATGTCTATTGACTTGGGTCGCCAAGGTTTGTGACTTTGAAAATATCTTTCCTCAGAAAAAAAGTTTGGGAAACACTGAACTAGAGCAACAAATGAGGGCAGGAGCCAATCACAGCTGTGTTTGTTGGCAAGAGGGCGGGACATCTAATATATATTTGTGTTTTTTTTTTCCTTTTGGATTAAAGCGACTCCGTGATGAACAGATGAAACCAATCACTGCGCTTTAATATTCAACATTATCTGGAACCACTTCACAACAACACACTCTACAGATCAGTGTCTCTGATCAGGTTGATTACGTGTAGAGGATTTTGTCAGGTTGGATGCCTCCCCCCACCCTGCCCCTCCCCCCAGACGATAATACAGACCGGAAAAAAAAAAAAAAAAAAAGGATCAAACGAGGGTTCTCTGAATGAGGGTGATAAGGCTGGAGGAAGGCAGACGGAGAGATAAGGATTCACCTTTCAAATCAAAGTGCTATTGTCTCCGAAGTCTAAAGGTCGATCATGAAGGCCATGGGAGAATGTATGTATAGGCTGATTGAGTAGACCCATAAACTGGAGGGTCAAAGGGTCAATCAGACGTAAGGTGTTACGTCCAAAAGAAGACAGACAGCGAGAGACGTTTGGCTTTAAAAAGAGAGAATACGTCAAACTATTTCTTTTCGTTTTACATCTATTGGACTTGGACTTGATCCCTGAAATGTTTTTAAACTCTACAATTGTAGGTTAATTTTTTTAAGGTGGATTTAAGGCGATCTGTTTTGTAGGGATTCTAGCTTTAAAAAAAGAAAGATAACTGAATAAAATAAAACAAAAATACAACGTCCTGATTTGGAGTTGAGTCTGAAGATATGAAACGAAACTCGTTTTTGTTTTGACCTGAACATAACACTGTTGTTATAGAACTGAACCAAAGGCAGACATTAGGGAGAGATATGTGTTGAAGTGTATTCAATCGGACGACTGAAGAGTCAACAGATAATACAAAGAATTTCCCAAACAGCCAAGACCTCTGTCTCGTGGCCAGCTTTATTTCATGGTGTGTTATAGTGTTTCCTCAGTTTAATCACAGCCGCCTTTGTGTGTGCAGACAATAAAACCTGCAGGAGAAAATGTCCCTGTGCAATACACTCAGCCTTCAAATAACCATCACCGCTCCGACACAGAATGTGGAGAGAAATGTGAACTGAAATGTCACCTAAAAGATCCGGTCGTCCAATCGCAGCACGAGGAGCGAGGACCACTGCCACTAATGAGAAACTGGACACAGACTAATCGACGCCGCACATCAGCGCATTACACATGCATTCATTATCGCAGCACACACAAAGAAGCCACAGGGTATTCACTGGAGGAACGGGCAACAGTAATAAACCCTCGCCGCGTCCAAATGGGTGAATTATACGCTAGGACATGGAAGTGAACAGAACAGAGAGGAAGGACCGTCACAGATCCATCAGAGGGGAAGCAAACTTAGCCACACACTCTTCATTAGCTGCTGCGCTAACGGAATCATTAAAAAAAAAAAAAACAACCCAACAACACAGGGTTAGCAGCAGCGGCGTGAAGCAGGCTGAGCGAGCGGGCTTAGAGGTTGAGGCTCTGAGGAGAACGGCACTTAAAGAGGATTACAGCCGAGGTGCTGGAGTGATCAGGCTGGACGTAAGGAAACAAAAACAACCACCGCCTGGTCTGGAGTGGCCTCAGACTGATGAGGTCACTTCTCTTCACTGTGATTTATGTTTTGAAATGTGAACGTGAATTATTGTTTGGATATGTGACACAGCACACAACCAAATGTGACCTCTGACCTCTTTTACCCATTAGCAGGGGGGCAGCTTAAGCAGTGTGTCAGGACGGTGCCAGGCTCAGTGGTAACTTGGCAGCTGGGGGACTCAAACCTTCTGGACCCAAGTCCACCTCCTTAACCACTAATCCACCACGGTAACCTCATCCTCTTTATCATCTGCAGACATGACTTTATTCTGTTTGCAGCAGAGTCTGAAGGACCTGATGTTTTGAATCACGGCGGCCTAATACCACATCACCTACGGACCGGCACAGGTCCCCGGACCAGAGGTTGGGGCCCCCTGGCTCAATGCTTTGCAGGGTCACAAGGGAGCTCGTGCCAATCCCAGTGGTCAACAGGTGACACTATTTAATAAAATGGTTTATTATTGTTGTTACTGAAAACGACATAAATGACTTGATGTTCATTGTTGTTTATTATTATTTTTGTTTGATTACATTTCCATCTATTTTCTTATATTTTCTAATATGATTGGTTTTCCGTGTTGACAGCAGGTAATTAAACCAGGTGATGACAGACTCTGTTATAATAAAGACCGGCTTTAACATGACCAGCCGCTGCGTGGAAAACTGCCCACACGGAGGACCTGACAGCTCCTGCTACGACGCAAAGACTCATTAAGAAACAGCATCTTTATCAGAACAGAGAGGTTCTTGTTTCAGAAACAACTGTTGGTTTTTCTTAAAGAACCACGACAGCTGCCTTAAAGGTGATAAGCAGCTCCTTTATCCCGTATCATGGCGGCGAGACTTCCCTCTCAGGAATTGCTGGTGAAAAGTCTGCAGCATGAGCGAAGCAGCGTTCAACAATTTATGAGACAGCTGACGAGCACGTGGAGGAGACAATGTGGATTTCAGGAAGTGGAGATGCAGAGGCCTCCTTTGAAGTGTTAAACAGAGCTGAATAATTAACTTCTTTTCAAATACTGGCACGACGACGACGACGACGGTGGAGCGGGCGGGTAAAGGCTGCCGATAAAGGTACGTATGCAAACGGTACACACGCTCAGGCAACATCCTGCAGAAGGCTTGACTCTGAACTCTTCACTGTTCTCCAGGGCACAAACAAAACACCGTCATTATCAGCTGGAACGGAGCATCAACATGACTGGAGCTTTTGTTCCATCTGCAAAACTATTTTAGATGAATTAATGATACATTTAAACATGATTAAAAAAGGCAAATCAAGATTACTGTCAGTTTGTTTGGTTTATTTTTATCCCGGAGGAAAAAAAAAAAATCTATCCAACAGCAACTGTCACAGATTTTTATATAAAGTTTATATCAAAACTTGTTTAGATCAATAGATTTTCTTTAAATAGTGGGAGCCACCAGGGGGCGCTAGGGAGGCCTCAGAAAATCGGAGGGAAGATAAGAAAACAAAAAAATGCAAAAACCTTTGTCCTGAACTCTACAGCATGTACTGCCATGATCGTTAGATTCTTCTTAACGAGAAGTTTACGATGGTACCTGAACGCACCATTTTTAGGAACTTTGTCATGCTCCTCAAGCTAGTTTGTAGCTAGCTAGCGTGTAAATGGACAGGTTTTTGACAGTGCTGAAAATATTCTTTCCATAAACTATTCTAGAAGATATTTTCTAGATTTTTTTTTACATTTTTCTATCACGGCTCTGCGACGCTGCTCACTTTTCTCTTTAGTCATATTTCCTGCTGCTTCAGCTCCGGTTGTTTTTCTGTTTCTGGGAAAGAACAATAATTAAAATACTTGAAATCATAGCTGTGTCTATTCTAAAAGTTTGGTGAGGTCTGAGACACTTCCTAACGGATGGATGAACTCTGCTTCACGCTGCTGCTAATAATGCTCACCTCCAAAGTTGCAAACAAACTACACCCCCCAGTGCCCCCCCATCCCCGCCCCGCGATGAGGCAGAGGAGAAACTGATCATGTGTAAAACAGACCAAGACAGAGCAGAGTGAAAACTGAGCTGACGTCCAAGTGAGGCAGCGTGTGTTTGTTCCTGTTTAAAGACAGTCAGTGACGAGGTAGATGCTAGTCTGGGGTTAGGGTTCGACTACGTAAATAAATCTGGATTTGTACGAACAACATGGCAAAAAGTTTTCCCCCCAAATATTCAGATTTCTCATGTGAATTTTCTTTTTTTTTTCATCTTTACCCACTGGACCGATGTTTCCATGTTCTAACGCAGGCTATCGTTGGTTTGGCTAATGCTAATTTCTTCTGTGTTTGTTTCATAACTGAAAAAATACTAACTAACTGCTCTCAAAACAACATGTCTCCCATATTTGCCACGGCCCCCCGAGCCAGTTCAGCACAAATTGGGGGCTCGTCTGAACCTGGCTGATCTTTTCGTTTAATTGTGTCTCCTACTGTTGGACCGTGAAGTCTGAAGTCTGTGAACACAGGTTTAGGAGACTGAGTTTTGTCGTATGTAGAGCAGATCCATGATCAGAGTCTGGAGTCGACATGTTCTGTTCTGATCGCGCTGTTAGCTTCTTATTTGTAAACCACCGCTATTGACATTAGCAACAACACTTGAAAAGCGACTGACGCTCACCTATTCATGTCCTCCCGGATGTAGAGCAACAGCAGCTGTTTGGGAATGCTAAACGATAACGTGCACTCCTCCATTTGCTCCCGGACGAGCAACCACTTGCTGTCCACCGTCTGAAACCGGTACACTTTACATACTGGGTTCTTGAAAACTGGGAGAGACAGAAAAAAAAAAGAAAAAAAAGGCAGGTTAATGAATTGAAGCAGTCGTTTCCTTCTGTCACAGCAGACGCAGCCTTGAGGATGACAGGGACAGAAGCTCTTCAGAAGTCACACAAGGATTTAAAATACAAATTAAATTCCATAATCAATACATGTGTCCGCCACAGATAAGGTGTCCACCCTCTGCCTCCCTCTCTCCCCCGCTCTCTCCCTCGCTCCTCTTCATTGGCACAGTGTTATATTAATATTTGTCTCGTTGTTATCATACTTTACATTTGAATTATTTATAAATTTGTTGTACAACTTTAAAAACCCCATCTTACTGCAGCCAACTGCCAAACTCTTCTGTTACATCTATTTGAAATTCTTCTTCTTCCTCTTCGTTTGAGCAGAGAGCGCTAATAGCAGCAATCGAAGCTAGAAATGAAAAACAGCTCTAATGCTCTTATCAAGCTTCTGGCAGCAGAGGTAAAAAATAAATAAATAAATAAATAAATAAATAAATAAATCTGTGTCTTCAACGCTGTTTATTTTTTTTCCTTTTCCTTCTCGGAGCTGTTCACTGTACCAGAGGTGAAACACTGGCAGTTTTATAACATGCGTGGCACCGATGAAATACTTTTGATTGAAGTCAAATGTGGGAGACACACATTTTTTTTTTTTTTTCTGAAAGTAGACTGATCCCCTGTAGCAGACCCTGATACTGGGTGTCATTCTATTCAGTGATTCATTTGTCACGCGTTCATCGTCTGATGCCTGAGAATCAAATATATACATTACATAAACGTGTAGGTTGTCCCAGGTACTACTGCACTACACTATACTACACTATACTGCACTATACTACACTCTACTACAATATACTGCACTGTTAATGTATGTAAGAGTCTTAATGGAAACTTCAAATGTCCTTTCCTGGCTTGATTTTAAAAACAAATGTCTTGTTTGAGTAAGCAGGTTCAAGCTAGTTAGCTTAGCGTAACATTAGTTACATTCATATATATGTATCCATACATTTACTGTATATATATATATATATGTATGTATGTGTTAATGCCTAATGTGTTGCTTAGACAGGTCAATAATCAACTGATTATCCAAGCATATGTAATATATGTAATGTATAATTTATATACATACATGAAAAGATATGAATATATATATAAATATATATGCATATGTATATATGGTATATGTACAGTATGTGTATATGGATAGAGCGTTCGGGGGTGGGGGTGGGGGGGGGGTAACAACTTCAATGAGACGTCCATTGACTTCCATAACCACCAGAGAGGTTGATTAACATCTGACCTCCGACCTTTCACCCTCCTCACCCTGAGACTCATCCGACCACCAATCAGGCGCTCTCATTTCCCTCCCTGACACGTCTTCAGTAAACGACTTCCTGAGCCGTGCGGTGCCTGGGCTTTTCTTACCTCCCTGCTCTCTGCGTGCTCCTTTTTTCGAAAGGTAATAAAAGTGGGAAACTAAATGACATTACTCAACCTGGCAGGGTCTGCAGGGAGGGCGCTGTTGTGACGGGCTGCAGATGTGCACCTGCAAACAGGCTGCAGTTTGTGCGCTAATCCCAGCAGAAACAGGAGAAACAGAACTGCAGCCACACCACGGTAACAAAAAATGTTAAAGTCGGAGAAGCTTACGCCCCTCTGGATATTGACTGTGGAGTTACAGCGCAGTGGAACGTCTGACCTTTTCAACATCGTTTCCTTTCTGTCTGCATGTCTTTCATTATCTGTCCCTTTTCACACGGGAACAACAGGAGACAACGTTTTCCATTTAGTTTCAGGGAGCGTTTTACTCTTTTTAAATCTTATCGAACCCTTAGTTTTAACCCAAATTTTCAAGCAAATACATGAATTACATTAATTTTTCTTAGTCTTCTATATCATTTATATTTGTCTGACTCAACAGGGATTATTAAGAGAATTGTATTTGAAATAAATATCAAGATTTATTAAGAGAATTGTATTTGAAATAAATAATGTTGCAGTATTTCAGATTTGAAAAAATCCGTACTGCATTTATTTCAATAGAAACATCCGAAACAAACTGGAAGAAGTGGGAGGAAGAGAATGATGACCTTTAGTGCCGTCGGCTGTTGTATTATTTGGCGCCACACAGAGACACAGTACTGTAGATGATGCACAGCGTGAATCATACCTGGTCCTGTCACCGGGTTATTTTCTCTGTCGCTGCAGACGTGTGACGCCGACTCACAAACCAAGGGACACTGGGAAAGAAAAAGAGAAGAATTTGTTAAAGGACAAAAAAAAAAAAAAGGAAAATCACAGAGTGTTTTGTTAGTGTTACTGGTTTTGGTTTTGTTGCTTGGGTGAAGTTTAATTTAAGCAACACTGGATATGAGAACAACTGTAGATTAAACTGCAGCTGAAGCAGGAAGTCTGTAGTGAACTATTTAGATGTGGAATAAAATCATTTTTTTCTTCCAACTTTCAACAGTTTAGTACATCATCACTTCAGTGCTAAATGATTATACTGTAGACCGTTAAAGACTGATGCCGGCCTTTGTGCCAGTGTGAGGCTGCGGCCGAATCGCTCTTCTTCTCTGCTCTTCTTCTCTGCTCTTCCATAAGTGGACCGTAATTCAGTATTGATTTAGAACAACAGTCAACATTTTCAAATGATTCTGTGGTCTCAGTCCTCAGTTTCTTCTTCTCTGGATTTTAGGTGGATTTTAGAAAATCAAATCACATTGGACAATTTAGCTGTCAATCAAACACACTGAACAATCGCGTCTTTATTTGGCCTTTCTACTTACTCTGTTTCTACATGTGATTGTAATTTGTAAGAAAAAAAAAAAGAAAAATAGACAAAGTTTCACTGAAACTCAAAGGAAATTAATTTGTAAAGATTAATTATATTACAAATGTTGATGCAGTTTTTCACATGTGCAGAATGACACAGACTGTGAAATCAATAATCCATCCATCCATTTTCATCCGCTTATCTGTTACTGGGTCGCGGGGGCAGAAGTCGCCACGACTGCCACCCAAATCACACTGCACCCCCCAAAACCTTCCTGCAGGTGGTGAGTCCACTGGAAGGAACCAACCGTCCTAACTGGGATTCAAACTTGCCCAGGAGGTGAACCCTGGGGTTCCACACCAATGACAGAAACATTGCCTCTGGGCCAAAGTGATAATCAATAATTCCAACAATTCCACTTATCCTTAAATTGTTAAAACATGATTTACTTTACGTTACTAACATGACTTAAAAGATTAATTGCAATTGACTGTGATTAATCATGATTAATCCTCAGCCACCTGGTGATTATTTGGATTTAAAAATTGGAATCATTTGACAGCCCTTCTAATATATTCTATATATAATAACATAATATTTTCTCTTCTAATATATTCTATATATAATAATATAATATTTTCTCTTCTAATATATTCAAAAATATATAAATAACATTGGAAACAAATCTGGATCCATGTTGATTTGACATCTCGTACCACAACGTCACCGCCACAAACCACAGGAAATTCATTTCAAATCACCACCTGCCGTCACACACACACCACACACATCATTGCTCCTGTGTCTGCCTCACAGGGTTGATTGTGTTTCAGGGCAATCAGTGATGTCAGGCAGCGGAGCAGGTGGTCGCTGGAGGGAACCGCCCAGAGCTGAGCTGATCAGAGCTGCTGATCTGTCACCTGGACCTGGACCTGGGCAGAGCTCCGTCCTTTTTAATGGATCATTCATGTCATTGTGCTGTTGTCGTAAAAGTGAACTAGATATTTACTGTTAAACAAAATTAAAACTTCATCAGTGAAAACAAAAAGAAAAAAAAAACACGACTGTTGTTTTGAGGAGGCGGGAAGAGGTGTTTGTCATTGGGCGTTTATTTTATTTTACAACCAAACAAACCAACACGAAGTCTTACTGTTCCCATCAGGGTTAGATTTATGACGGACATTAGTGAGTGGTTATTGGAAAAAAATAAATATATTTTTTAAATGTTATGACAAATACTTATTGATTTTGTTTTTCTAACTCAATTTAAAAAAAGTAAATGAATACTGAGTAAAACTGTAGTATAGATTCTATTATGTATATTATATTATACATCAGAAAATACTTTTTCAACGTGTGCTAAATTAAAGGTGTATGGCCCAAAATATATGCATAATATGTGGTTATATATTGACAAGATTCCAAGATAGATGTTGATCAGTCAGAGCTGCTGTGTTCTACTGAGCCGCAGCAGTTCTTAAAAATTAAATGCTTAATTATTTTAATATTTATTTTAAAGATAAGCTTTAGAACAACTCATTACCTTTTTATCACACCATAAAGTTTTATGTTTTGGCAAAGGTAAGATTTTATGTGGATTATCTACCTTTTTTTTTTT